GATCCTTGAGTTTCTGTGATTCAGACTGGATAAATTCGGACAAAACGTAAAAGCACCTGAAATAGAATGCATGATTTATTTTATCAGACTAGTCAAGATAATAATTATAACATACTCTAAGTAGTAGAATTTTAAATGGTCTATAAAAGGATTTTAAAAAATGTATTAATTGATAAAATTGCTATGAAATGATTTAAATTTTTATAGATAATTATAGATTATTTATAGATAAATCTTTCATTAATCAAGTTTTTTGAATAAGAAATTTACCTGATATTCTTTATTGTCTTTTTAGCCTCTTCAAACATGTCCATTGGTGTCGTTATTTGGTTGACTACTGGTCTCTGGAGTGAAAGACGCCCAATGATTCTCTATATGGTTCCACCCACACCATCGCAAGCGCTTTTGCCATGAGTCGTGGCAAAGAAGTGCCACTCACAATCAAGTCCAAAGTCTTCTTTATGATAACACATATTCATGACATTGTACCTGTTTCAAAGCATAAAAGCAAATAAATATAAATATTATTGTACTATGTATAAAAGAGGATGAGGAGAGGAAAAGGAGAGAGGATGAGGAGAGGAGCATGAGAAAATATTAAATTATGTTACATATGTTTTTAATGTAATTTTATGTACAAATGTATATAATGCAAATAGTATATATGTAATATATATAAATAATATTGTAAAAATTATATATTATATATATATATATATATATATATATATATATATATATATATATATATATATATATATATATATATATATATATATATATATATATATATGCCTAATTTTTATATTAAAGTTTTCAAAATAAATCACATTAAATTTATATTTCTTACCTATTTTTATATTGGCTGGATGCACCATCTGTAAAATAATGAGTCTTTTGTATTTGAGGAAATTCAACCTTAATCACTTTCAATATTTCACCAATGAAAGCATGAACTGTTTCTGTATCTTGATGGAGGTGATCAGATATGACAGCAAAGCAAACTGTTTTCTTGTTGTCATTTTCTCTTGTGTGGAGTACAAAAGGGTGAATGGTGGCCTGTCCTTTACTAAAATATGATAATTGAACCTCATCCTGAATTATAAAACTAAAATTTTCTGCAAAGTCCATTTGTAGAATACCTTCATTTCCAGTGGTTTCTTCCTTCATTGATTCAAATTTTTCTGCTTGTATTTTAGACAGGTAATGATGCTTTGTAAGGTTGAAGATATCATTAGTCAGAGTTTGCATGAACTCATCTGCAGATCTTTTCATGGTGACAAGAGTGCATCTATCTGTACTCACCCATTGTTTGAATTCCAATTCATCAGTGGTAATGTAAGGTTGAATATGGTCTTCAATCTTTTCTTTGCCAGGGCATTTCTCACAGTTGTGAAACATGCATTCTTTGGAACTCATGGAGCAAACTGCCAATTCCATTAAGGAAGAAATAGAAGAGTCCCTAGTCAAGCTTTGTAACATAAGTTTAGGGTTTTGGTGGTGTATACACACACATACTGTGTGTGTCCCACATGCACCTGCTAATTTGCAATGTTTTGGTCTAAGAAGAGCAAATTGGGTAAGCCCTACTTTTGACAGATTTTCTTCTTCAGCCTTTTCCAACCATTTTTCATGAAGCTCACTCAGGTTGCATAGAACTAGCCTCTTCTGCACATGTATTCGTCCATTCACCCCTTGCACACTTATGAAGTCTTTGGCGTAACAATCGGCTATTTGAATCATTCTCATAGAATTCAGTTATCAATGTGACTAAATCAGGTGTTAGCTTTCTAGGCTTACTAATTTTTTCAATTTCTCCTAAAATCCCCCTTTGTTCTCGTAATTTACGTGATTGTGTGACAATATATCGTGTTGTTGAGAAATGAAACTTGGTTTCTTAAATAGTCCAATGTTGTGGTACCAGTGTTAGAAGTTTTATTTTTCCTTCAACAGTAGACTCTTTGTCAAATTTTTCTTTAACCCTTGAAACCAAATAATCTAATGACCTAGCAGCTTGGTCACCATCTTTACTTACAGTGCTTTCAATCTCAAGTGATTTGTTAAGGTCCGACATTTTTCTTTTCAATTTTTTTTTCTACCTAGTCAGTGCTCAAGTGTGCAACCTTAATAGCTGAGAATCCAGTGAAAATAAGGCTTTGATTAAGTTGCTCAGCTATCAATTTTTTAGAAGATTCTGGAACATAATCTGGATCAGTACTCATATTTGAATCATAATCAGAGTTTGATGGCTGTCTCAACTTTTTAATGCAAGAGAAACAAAAACTTTTACCTGGAATTAATGTATTGTTTAAATTATAGTGCTCTAGTGTGATCAATGTTAGATTAGATTTCTTTGCCTTCTTATGGATATGAAAGGGGTCACAGCATTTAGATACAGAGAAGCTTGATGCAAAGTATTTCCCATATTTCAAAGAATGGTGAGTACACACTGTTACAATATTCTTTAATGCAGTTCCTATTCTTATACTCAGGATTAATTTATCAGTGTTAGGTATATCTTCTATAATTTCAGAATAACCTGCATATGTTTTTAGATGACATTCTTCTTGCAAAATATCTCCAACAGAGCATGCCATTTTTCTAGAAAAAATGAAAGTGAAACTATATTTGAAAATAATTTATAAATATGATTTTAGTTTATTTAAAACAAAAAGGTAACCAATATCTTAATGAGATAAACAACATATAAACAAATGTTGTAAACAAGCATTAATGTTATGAATTGAATAACAATTAAAAGGATATATATAGGCATATGGTCATCTTAATCCAGCGTGCAAAAATTCGATTTGCATTACAAAACTTATAATAAGTTTGTGATGAAAATAGTTAACAAAACATTAATAATTCAATTATTTTTTGCATTATGATCACATTTCCATGTCATATGAGATAAAATCGCGCAAGGAATCCTAATTTAGTCTAAAAAATGGTGAAAAGAGTCACCATGATGCAAATTTTGTCAAATTTTCATATAGAGCATCCGGCGAAATAAAACATAGTTTGACCTAATGTATTTTTTACACAACATTAAAAAAGTGAATTATTTTTTGAGCAAATGTAAGACCTACCACTAGAGATTTATCACTGTTAGTTTGAGACCAAATGATATTACCAGAAAAAATCTATAAATAATCAAAAATTGGCAAAAATAACAAAAATTGAGTACCAGGCAATATTCAAACTGGTTTGGTGTAAATCTAGTTTTGAAAAAGCTCTATATTCTTTGCTACACAAGTTAGTCATATAGCAATAAAAAAAGTATATAAGTAAGTTACAACTTTTTATTTACTAGAAAGCTCTACCAACGCGTCACAAAATTTTTCTAGTATTAAAAAAGTGAGCTATTGTTGTATTTTTGTAAACATTGGAACTTGTATAAACAGTTTTTAAAATATCAATCACT